AGTTGGAGGTCTTCGCTCTTAGGTTGGAGGCCGTCGAAGGCAGGTTGGGGGCCATCGCTAGTAGGTGACAAGAAGCACAAGACAAACAAGACAGCAAAACAGCAAAAGTTGGGGGTCCATTCTAGTGGGTGGAGGCCAAAGTTCAGGTTAAAGAACCCCTTACAAAGTTTGGAGGCCTACCTGCAACCCATATAGGGTAGTCTAGAGGAGAACAGAAGGAAAGGCACCGACGCACAAGTGTGTCGAGTACCATTTCCTCCTGTTCTCCTAAGTAGTGGAACAGGTACACAGTGGGGCGTCCCCCACTGTATCAGCGCTTGCTGGCATCCTCTTCGTTGGACGGGAAATGCCAGAGGTGACCCGTCCCCCTGTTCCAAACCTTAAGGTCCCCTTTGATTCTAAGGGTTACACACACACACGCAACCCTCCACACACTTAGTCACAGGTTCATCCAGTAAGATAATCCACGATGAAAGGGATGGTGGAACGGAAAAGTCAGCTCAACTGAAGTGTTCAACCATGTTGCACTTGACTGCGGAACGGGGCGGTGATCGGCTGCAAACGCGGCAGAAAGGGTTTGGGAGGTATCATGCAAACAACCATGAAAACAAAGAAACAGCGGAGGGGTTCAACAGTTCAAATCGCAGGTACAGGAAAATGGCCAAGTTTCCTTTCCCACTCTTATCCACAGCTTCGTTGCGTGTGATAGGATAAGAGTGTCACACGCCCCTGCGTCAAAACGAAACGCCTAGAAACGGAGTGTGGCACGCGCAACACACACATACATCCTGCTTTCTCAACAGTGTAGACAAACCTAGGTCATGATGCAGTTCGCAGATGTTTCTACTGTAGCTTGAACAAGTTTAACAAACAAGTCGTGTTGACCCTTCACGCAGGTACACCCATAACAGTATACTTGTTATCACTCCGCTTGTAGCAGTTGAATCAAATTCATCTTATGTATAGGGCTTAAAAAGTTCCCGGCCCCTCTTGACGGCATGTTTTTTTACTGCCACATACTTACCTGTAATTTTCTGCGTATGAGAATGCAGTGTAGCGTATGAGAACACCTGAATTTTATCATTTTTGGTGACTTTTCACTGACTGCAGTCAATCTACCGGTGCATCACTAAACTTAGCATGTGGGACCATTTTGGGTGGATTGCCTCAACAATTCTTCAAGTGGATGCTGCTCAGCAGTGCATCATCACATGGATTATCAGCGACGGACTGCAACTTAGAATGCCAGCATTCAAATCCTAAACGTTGGAAAACATGCCAGCCTTGTAAGTTTCAGTCCGTCACCATACTTTCATTTAAGCGACTCTTAGCCAAGAAGTGCAGCGCTGTTTGTCAGGCAGATGAATTGCAGCCTCTGGCAAGAGGCACTCTTGTTCTCTTGTTCAATTTACGCCCATGGTCTCAAAGCAGTCAGCTCACATCATCATGTTTGACCAAAACATCTCTGGGCTTCGCAGCTTGCTCAGTTCCCAGTTTGCTTTGGCTGTCGGAGGAGATAGCGGAAAGAATCCGCCGAGCCGATGTGGAGCGCCTCCAGGATTTACCTTGAGAAAAGGTGGAGCTGCTGAGAAAAGGATGATCCTTTGCTGTGTTGAGAGAAGACAAACGTTGCAGATTGTATATAAGCATGTTTCGGTTTCGGAACTGAACGACAGACAAGCCCATTGCCATCCAAGGCATTAGGCAGGAAGGTGCAAACAACCTTATGAATTGTGGATTGGGACGGGCTGAACTCACCAAACCCATGTCAACTGCCGCTTTGGCCATTGGTCTCAGACGGCGATCGGGTAGGTTGACAGTGCCGGGTTTGCCAATAGCTAGCCTGGCCCAATCGCCATGCAAGGTGGGGCAATTCAGGTGCTGTTGTTGTGTCATGATTTGATGTTGTTGCAGGAATATCACCGCTATATATATATATATCTACACACATATATAGCTATATATATATATATATATTTGTATCTACCCACATATATATATACACATTATATCTACACATCTATATACATACACATCACACACACACCTGCTGTTTTGTTGAACATCATATGTATATATACACTATGTTAGATATATATAATATATATATGTATATGTGTTAGAGGGACCTTCAGGTACTATTCCGCAAAAGGCTCCAGGAGAATTGAATTAATTAACTAACTAAATCATTTAATTCATTTAGTTCATTTAACTAACAAAAGGCCCCGGGAGAATTAACTGAATTGAATAACTAAACTATTTAATTCATTTAATGTATTAATTAACAAGCCCCTGACATCAACGGAGGAGGCCTCTGCGGAATCTTTGTGGACATGAACTCTGGATGGGCCAGGAGCTATCAAGTCTGCCAGCGCCCTAGCTGTGGCAACTGGATTTGGAATGACCGCATTCGAGCTGGCTTTGTATGCCGCAAGTGTGGTGAAAAGTGGCAGAAGCTGCAACGCGACCAGTTGTTCGAGATCTCCCAAGAGAACCAGGAAGCAGCAGCTGCCAGTACCACCTCCTCCAGGCCTGGCTTCACGCGCCGCAAAGGTCTCCAAGATTCCAAGATCCAGAAAGCCACCGCCGAGACCCTGGCTCCAGCATGGTCCTCCCTTGAGGCAGCCTTGCAGGTGAAGCCCAAGGACCTGGGCATTTCGCCCCCTCCACCGACTCCGGAGCCTGACTTGAAGGATGTCTTGGAAACATGTCCCAGTTACCTCCAACGGTGCGGGAATTAGTGGAGAAGCTGACAAAACCAGCACCTCCCACCGAGAAGGACGTAGCTTCGAAGTTGAAGTCCCAGGTTACTCTTCTCAAGGACTTGTCACACAGGAAGTCCACCTTGCAGAACAAGATCGACTCAACGAAGAAGGCCTACCAGGAACTTCTCGATGAAATGAAGGGCATCCAAACTCGCATCGAAACCGAACAACAAACCCTTACGGCCACCAGCGCCTCATACATGTTTTTGGTGAACGCGGCCAAGCCAGACCTTGGGGAACTCCCTGAAACAGGGGGGGCAGACCCAGTCCCAGCTGCGGTTGCCGGTTTCATTAATACTTTAGGCGTCAGCCTCACGGAAGAGCAACAGCAGCAATTGCAAAATATGCTCAAAAGACCGCCAGCTGAGCCAGTTGATGAGGCCAAGAGACGCAAGACGGAGGCACCAGGGGACATGTAGTGCGGGTAACCCTGCACAGCTTGAGATTGCGGTGGACTTTGCGCTGGGGAATCAGTCATGCACCTCTTTGCATGCTTTGGGAACCTCTTTGATACATGATTGTGGGGTTGATCAGTTGATCACAATCCTTTTTCAACGTCTTTCTTTTCAGGCTCAAGTCACAGCTCACCACGGGGACGAGTGAGCTATGGGCCGCAACGGCGCAAGCCACAATTGAAAATCTACGGAGGTGGTGCCTTGGGAACTTCATCAGGCACGACGGACACCCCCGGAGGGGCACTGGCCTCTTCTACTTCAGAGTGGACTTTCAGTGTCCTGCTGTCTCCGGGACTCCTAGTTCTGACAGCCTGATGGAAGCACAATTTGGGGGAGTGGCTCTGACGGACGCTCAGAGCTTCCTTTTTGACCTCTGTCAGCAAGACTTGAACCAATCGGTACAGAGGTATCGATCCACGGCCAATCCACATCATGGCCAACAGGTTCTGGCAGATTTGAGGAGAATGCAAAATCTCATACGCAAACATTTGAGTTTTTTTTGCCGGGAGACACCAGGTGGCCAATGGCCAACTTTTTCATCATCTCCCAAGTATTGACCTCGGCCCTCCGCAACCCTGATTGCTACAACCTTTGTTTTGGGAATGCGCCCTTCAGGAGCTGGTGTCGCTTTTGCAGAAGATGCCTCCCTGGCGTGGGGCCAAACACACGGAGCCACACGCCAGTTTCTCTCCAGCTCGGAACCACAGTGGTTGCCCATGCTCATGAACATGGAACAAGTCTTGGCGCACTTTGAACAAGGAAGTCAAGCAGACGCCTCTGACTTCATTGGCTATTTGTGGGAGTATGCAAACACCACATTCTTCGGCAGCAAGTTCTTTCATTGGACCCTTTCAGGACACCTTGAAGAGCGAGAACAAATGCCTCTCAACATTCTCTTCCCAGCAGGTGATTCGGTGGCCACCCTGGACGAACTCATCAGCGACTGGGCCACCGCTCAGAGAGGGCACTTGGACAAAACATGATCGTGAACTTGATCTTCTTACGGACATCAACATTCCCTATTCAGAAGATGGGAATCACATTCGCCAAGCAGGTTTGAGATCATCAACGGCCTCATCTCAGCCCAGGAGGGCGTTCAGCAGGGCGTCCACCATTTGCGCTTGGACAAAGCGTACTTGCGCTGCGCAGAATGCGAATCATACATCTTAGCCAGATGTCGGGAGGAGGCCTTTTCCTCTTTCGTGGGCAGCCCTTGCTATGTGGGCCTGGCGCCAAGCAGCCAGTGGACGGGCCGTCCATCACACGTGATGAGGCGCCTGGGGAGCCTACTTTCCTGCACGCGGTGTGGAGGACGGTGCAAGGTTGGCGAGGAAGGCATCATCCTGTCCGACAAGCTCCAGAAGCGGTGCATTTTGTCGGGGGCACGAGACCTCCGGCAATGGTTTTCACCATAGCGCGTCATGGCACAGGAAAAAGTCGAGCCAAAAAAAATATGTATATATGTATATATGTTAGAGGGACCTTCAGGTACTATTCCGCAAAAGGCTCCAGGAGAATTAAATTAATTAAATAACTAAATCATTTAATTCATTTAGTTCATTTAACTAACAAAAGGCCCCGGGAGAATTAAATGAATTGAATAATTAAACTATTTAATTCATTTAATGTATTTAATTAACAACAGGCACCGGATGAATTAAATGAATTAAATAGTTAAATCATTTAATTCATTTAATTACTTAAAAGCCCGGATAGTCTCGACTCCATTCCCTTTGGTTGGAATTTCGGATTTTGATTATTTAATTAATTGAATGATTTAAATGATTTAGTTACTCAATTCATTTAATTCAGAAAAGGCTCCGTAGAATTAAATTAATTACATAATTGAAGCATTTAATTCATTTATTTAGTTTAACTCACAAAAGGCACCGGGAGAATTAACTAAATTAAAGAACTAAATCATTTAATACATTTAATTCAGAAATAAATAAATCATTTAATTCATTTAATTCATTTAGTTCATTTAATTAATTAACTGCCCGGATAGTCTCGACTCCATTCCCTTTGATTGGAATTTTGGATTTTGTTTATTTAAGTACTTAAATCAAATAAATGTAGTAAATGAATTAAAGGATTTAGTTATTTGATTCATTTAGTTCAGAAAAGGCTCCGGGAGAGTTAAATGCAGTAAAACAACTATTTAATTCATTTAATAAAGCTCCGGGAGAATTAAATGAAGTAAAAAAACTATTTAATTCATTTAATTAACTTAATTTGCAAAAGGCCCCGGGAGAATTAAATGAATTAAGTAATTGAATCATTTAATCCATTTAATTCACAAAAGGCACCGGGAGAATTAAATGAATTAATTGAATGCCCCGATAGTTTCGACTCCATTCCCTTTGATTGGAAAAATGCATCAAATGATTTAGAAAGCATTTTTTTAAATGCATTAAATACATTAGCTTAATTAAATGATTTAGGTATTTGATTCATTTAATTCAGAAAAGGCTCCGGTAGAATTAAATACATTCAATAGTTAATGCATTTAATTCGTTTAGTTAATTTAATTCAGAAAAGGCAATTTAATTCAGAAAAGGCACTGGGAGAATTTAATGAATTAAACAATTAAATCTCTTATTTCATTTTATTCACAAAAGGCACCGGGTGAATTAAATGAATTGACTAGATCATTTAACTCCTTTAAGTCATTTAATTCGTTTAATTACTGAAATGATTTAATTTAATGATTTAAATGATTTAATTACCAAATTTTTTAATTCAGAAAAGGCTTCGGTAGAATTACATGAATTAAATAACTCTATCATTTAGACAAAAGGCTCCGGAAGAATTAGATAAATTAAGATGACAATACGAGGTCCAGAAGACACGGGACTATTGTGCCAAAAGGTTCTGGGAGTTGAGAATCACAAGTCCTAGCTCATATGTGTAGAAAGCTGATACCTTACGTTTACAAAAGCCGCATGAGATAGGAGTTGTTGCTTGCCGGCAGAGATATATTTTTTTGCTGGGGGTGGCGTGCCAACCAAAAAGATCAGCCAGCCTTGCACGCGTTCCAAATTAAAAGCGTACACCGATTTCCAATGTTTTTCCCTTTTCTTGCTCCACAAAGCCTATGACAGGGCACTGAGCACACCAAATAATCAGGTCGATGGTAACATATTTATTTTCAGGGATTGTTGGTCATACTTACCCATTCCTGCAGCCTTTTTGGGCTTCAATCCTTTGTCTTTGCAGAGGACGCGAAAAGGACGAAGGACTGCTTCCAACCATGATGCAGAAATCACGAATGAAGCGTTTTAAATCTCAATAGGTATAGAGTTTCTAGGAGTATGCTTTCTTGTGGCCTGTCGCGGTGCTGCAATCGAGAGTGTCCTGCCTCTTGGCT